CATACTCAGCTCTATACCAAAGAGCAACCATAGAAATACCTCTACTTAAAATAAGATTCATATTTTGTGGAGATGGCCGTCAAAACAAAAGCTGTACAACGGCATCGCCAGACACTGAAAGTTACCAAGAGCAGCTCTCACTCAGCTCTATGCTAAGCTTTATACTAAGCAGCAACCCTAGCACTTCACTATATTCGCTTCTTGCCCGGCAAACCTTTTCTCACAGTGGGAGAACAATTTTCTTTAAAATATTGGCACTATGAACTTCATCCAATACTTTTTGCAAACCAACTGGCACAAAATAAATCATATCCGTGCTGAATCGCAGCAGCATTCAGGAAAAAGGCGGAGCAGGTAAAGAAGCAGCGCACCCTCTGAACCGAAACTCAGTGCATACGGGTCCATCCATGCATCGCAAATACAGCTTTCTTGTATTGTTTCGATGCTCTACGAAAAAAAACGCAAAAAGCATATGCTTTTCTATCATAGACACTTTGTTAGTACGTAGCCAGACCGAGCACCAGAAAAATGTTAGTTTATCAAGCGTATGCAAAGCGGGCAAAACGCCAGGCGCAGCATTACTATATAGAGCAGATAGAGTTTACTGTGTGGCTTGGTACTGTTTATATATAACCACAATTTCATGATAAAATGCCGCTGTGAGCTCAACCGTACACTGCCTATCTATATAAAGGCTTTCATGCTTGCTTGCAGATGGCGGTATATCTCATCGGCTATACGATGAAACTCATCGATACAGTGCAACGCGAACCGCCGTTTTTGCATGAGGCAGTGATGAAACCTAAATTCGTTTTTTTGACAGTACACCACCTCGCATCTGTTACTTGAATACAAATATGATGAATACAACAGTGAGAGACCAGCGGGCGATGTTTCTCTTGAATCAGCTAGGGTGACGACGAACTCGCTGAGTTGAGCACAGCAAGAAATTCCTCTATCTGCAGTGTTAGAAAGGGCACAATCGTATTGGCATGAGAAAGTGGAACCGAAAAGCCGCGGCAGTCAAATGAACATACCAGCAACTATGATTTCGTATTAAACCCTAAAGAAAAAAAGTATATCTGTAGGTAGCCATTGCTCATTCGCCACTAATGCTTGCGTCTGTACAAGATGCAAAACGGCCATCCGCAAGGACGAGTAAAACGCAGTTATTAGCTGTCGGAGAAAGGCGGCAAAGCAGAGTCACTGAATGTCCACGCGCAAAGCGAAAGCATATAATAGCCGTTGTGTTTCAGCTAACCCAATGATCAGAGACGGCAGGGATCACAACAGGATGCCGTCAGGCACGTTACCTATCATCCTTCATATGTCAGCGCGGGTATCCATCTACACCGCGAACTATGCACTGCGCCTAGTAGCCCACGCTGATGAATCCAGCGCATGTACGCTACGCACTGGTTTGAGAAGAGAACGAGAGTTCTCATTAATAATGAATTGCGATCGTATTCATCGAAAACATTTGCAGAGCCACTTCCACCTATATGATAAATGCAAAAACATGGCGCGCGACACGCATAGCTTGAGTCTGTTAAGATATTTCACAACGGGCAGGCAGCTACTAACTCGCCAAACAGAGATTCCTCTGTGCAACTGAAAAAGTACAGTGTCAGCTCGATCACTCCTTAGAGCAGCCTGACCGCAATTTTAGGTAGATACACAATAAATTGTCGAAACACCATCAAGGGAGTTAAGAAGCGCAGAGAGACTCGAAGAAACAATATGTTGCGTCACATGTGTTTCGTTGGTGTCTGGGCCTTCTCTTCATTGCATAGTTCCTCATATGCGTATGGGCCCAGTGTAAACAAGTTAAACGCAAATATTAGAGAAGATGCAACTACACGGTGCACCTATATCAGAAACTAAACGAATTTTATACATGTATCACAGGGAGAGATTTATCAATCGTTCCAGCAAACACGAACGCCGCTGCTTGATTGCGCCTACAGCCTGTTTGAATGGGTAAAACCCTGAACTGAAAAACGAGATGGAGCGCGCTGCATTTCTATGCCGGTCCACTAGTCACCAGACGAATTAAGTGCCCACACAGACAGTGTGTACTCTATAAGAGCAATCTGAAATTTACGTAGATCTCAGAACAGCCATGTTGGTCGCTTTGTAGGCGGCAATTCGCTTTGGTCTGCTCTCCATGGCATCTCATCGTAGCTGTTTTTCAAAGAGAATCTAACTCGTTTGCATGTTTGAATCCGCAGAAGGCCAGAACGAGGCAGGGCACCAGCACCATGTACGCGTGCAGTTCACGAACTTTCTGTTGTTAAGAATTGAAGCTCTTCCATCAATATCGACATAAATTACTTCTGCTAGGCATTGTCTCTCTAATGTCATACAAAGATAAGCAACGTGTCAGTACAAGGAACATACGGTCGTGAACGTGTTGACGCTTGATAAAAGCGTCATGTTTGCGCTTAGTTTATTGCACTGACAGCTCCTACTCTACTTCGCACACGGGAAACTGTGCTTTCAGGGTAACGCCGAGCTTCTGCACTGGGGTGCTTAGTACAGTGCGCGTCATGTTCTAAGCCTCCACAGCACAGTTTTCTCTACGACTTGCATTGCTTATTGTTGAAAATTGGCCTTTCGTCTGCTGCATGACTTGGAAGTTTAGGACACAGCGACGGCAAGCTATGAGGATCGGCTGACACGTAGCGCCAATACAGCCGTCATTTCAAGGCCATTTGTTATCCGTGCCACCGCCTTTCGAATAAACGTATTTGCAACTCACTCCCTTCGTCAACGCATCCAGAGGCGCGCTTGTGCGAAAAGCTTGGGAAGTGCGCCTTCTCGAATACACAAGAAACAGTAGGATTCTAACTCACTCTTTGGTTTGGTTTTGTGGGAATATGTGTCAGCTGTATTATACCAAGTAGCAAGCAACAACTGGTACATGCGTCCTAGAGGTGAACAGAAGCTCTAATATTTGCTGGATAATTCAATAAAGATCAAATGATGTGACAGTGTAGCAAACAGTGCAGTGCTACCCCGCTTACAAACTACAGCCGGGAGAATTCCTCCGTTTTGATGGCAATCTCTACAAGCGGCGTCTTGGCATGTAAGATGCTGGCATGCAACTCG